GTCAGCAAAGACAAACATTTCAGGCAGAAGGAACAGAATATGCAAATGTCCTATGGTGGGTGACAGCTTGGAGAAGATGCAGTCTTAAAAGAAAGAGAATGCGACCACCATGTTAGAGCTGATGAGTTTTTAAGAGGAGAAGGAATGATCAGATCTTAACCTACAAGAACCCTGAGAGTAGATACAAGGCTTGGATTTCAGTAGCCAAGAGAGATCAGGAAACCACTGGATTTTCAGAAACACCAGAAGCCCAGTGGCCTCTCCAGATGCTGGGATTTCCAAAGAACATGCGACATTCAGAGCTAACGGCAGAGTGTCTGGGCTGGTAGGTGGAAAGCCCTAACACTGCACATACCTCTACAGTCTGGATGAAGTGAGGTGCTATGGCCTCATCTACCCTGAGACCAGAAGAACTAGATGGTGCCCAGCAACCACTACCAACCGTTCTGGTCAGGGCCACAACAGACAGACCCTGATAGAATGGGAGAAAAATGCAGAACGGAACTCAAATTCTTAAAAAGCCTATGCTTATTGAACTAGTTGAGACTAGAGAACTCCCTGAGACTGTCACCCTGATATACTCCCTAAACCTTGAACCGAAACTATCCCAGGGTCACCTTTTAGTGAAATAACAGATTGGCACACACACAAAAAAAATAATGGATGAAGTGAGGCATTCAACAAACACTGCAAGGCCACTTCTGGCCTGATGCTGCCAGGTAGGGCCCCAGACAATCTTTAGCTCTCTCTCCCCTCTCTGATCAGTCTGGCCAAGTTCAAGGGGGAGGAACCTGGAGTCCCAATCATGAGACTGGAAGGATGCCTGGGAGATCAGTGGGATGCCCAGACACAGTAGATGCGGCTGGTTCCAGCCTGGGGCACCCACCCCCGGTTGCCTCCTTGCCTAGATAATTGCCCTCAGCCACATAGGAACCACCTAGCCTAAGATGGGGAAGCACCCTCCTACCCCCCACCCCAGCAGCCTGCAGGAGGACTGACTGACCTGGAGAACAAGAGACCAGTCCCCTTGGTTCAGGTGGGCCTGCCTCTGTGCTGCAATGCATGGTCCATGACTGCCCTCCAGGATCCGGATAAAGCCAGTCCTCAATAGAGACAATAATCTCACTTAGCTCTTCCCCTGTGCTACCCTGCTAACCTCATTCTCCTTCTCCTGAGAGAAATAAATGAATCTAAACCAATAAGTCACATGAACAAAAATCCTCATCTCAGGCTTTGTTACTGAGAACCTAGCCAAAGCACCAGGGTTCTTGTATTTTCAAGCAATCATCAATCAGCAAGTCCCTGCTGAGTCCTGACTGTGCCCAGCATGGAGAAGGGGCAATACGGCATGGCACCGTGACGTGGTGTCAGGAGGCCCAGGTGCTCATCCGGTGCTGCATGTATACTGGGAAGTTTAGCCTCACTGACTCTTATTCCCCTTCCGTATGATGGCAGCAACACTACCTCCATCAGATGACCCAATGTTAACACACTTCGCAAACGACAAAGTGCCACTAAAACGCTGGTAGTTATTTTATTAACGACACTTATTTATTAAAGACATCATGTTTGGTAAAGTAGAGGGTCAGCGAAAAAGACGGCAACTCTCAACGAGATGGACTGACACAGTGGCTGCAACAATGGGCTCAAACATAGCAACAATGGTGAGGATGGTGCAGGAATGGGCAGTGTTTCGTTCCATTGTACATCGGGTCACCATGAGTCGGAACCAACTCGATGGTGCCTAACAACAACATCAACAGAAACAAATCTTATTACTGCTATCAAAACCCTAGGAGTTCCTGTGTGGTGCAAACGATTAACACGCTTGGCAGCTAACTAAAAGGTTGGAGGTTCAAGACCACCCAGAGGCACCTTGAAAGAAAGTCCTGATGATCTACTTCCAAAAACTCAGTCATTGAAAACTCTATGGAGCACGGTTCTACTCTGACACATGGGGTTTCCATGAGTTGGAGTCAACTTGATGGCAACTGGTTTGCTTTCTATCAAAACTCTGTTGTTGTTGTGTGCTGTTGACTCAATTCCAACTCATAGCAACCCTATATGACAAAGCAGGACTGCCCCATCGGGTTTCCTAGGCTGTAATCTTTACAGAAAGAAGCTGGTGGCACAGTTGTTAAAGCACTCAGTTACGAACAGAAAAGTCGGTGGTTGGCGATTCAAATGCACCAGCCGCTCCATAGGAGAAAGATGTGGCAGTCTGTTTCTCCATAAAGATTTACAGCCTTGGAAACCCTATGGGGCAGTTCTACTCTGTCCTATAGGGTCGCTATGAGTCGGAATCAACTCTACAGCAATGAGTTTTTAGGTTTTGGACTAAACACCCTAAGGAGTCCTGATGGCACAATGGTTAAGCACTCAGCTACTAACCAAAAGGTCGAACCCACCAGTTGCTCATCAGGAGAAAGATGTGGCAATAGGCTTCCATAAAGATTACAACCTTAGAAGCCCCATGGGGTAGTTCTACTCTGTCCTATAGGGTCACTATGAGTCGCAGTCGACTAGACGGCAGTGGGTTTTTTGGAATCTTTATGGGAGCAGATCACCAGGTCTTTTCTCCTGAGGAGTGGCTGCTGGACTTGAACTGCCAACCTTTCAGTTAACAGCCAAGCACTCAACCATAGCGCCACCAGGGCTCCTATCAAAACCCTGTTGTTGTTGTGTGCCGTTTTGTCAATTCCAACTTAAGCATGCAGATATTCTGCCTTAACTTTAAGGGAGCGCCAACTTCCCCCTTCCCCTTCTATTCATAGTTGTATACTGGTTATTGCCTAAGAACCAGCAGCCTGTGATCAAGAAGGTCAAGGGCTAGAGCATATCTGTGATAAAGAGGAAAGACTTTACCTTGGACCTGAAGGGACGCTGTATCACCACATGGAAACAAAAGCTCCCCAGGGAATGTCCATAGAAGTACTCTAGTTAAACCACAAGGGTAATAAATAGAGGGAGGGAGAAACTAAGCTAAACCCCGAAATAACAAAGTATAGCACTTAAGAGTCAAACAGACTTAAGTGACCAAGTGTGTTACTCTCTAAGCCTGTTTCCTGATGGGTAAACCAGTTGCTGTTGAATCAATTCCAACTCCTAATGACCCATGTGTGTTGGGAGTAGAACTGTGCTCCATGGGGTTTGCAATGGCTGATTTTTCTAAAGCAGATCACCAGGTCTTTCTAGACACATCTGCGTGGATTCAAATCTCCAACCTTTAATTTAGCAGCCAAGTGCGTTAACCATTTGCACCACCCAGGGACTCCCTTTCTGATGGGTAGAATGATAATAATATTTATTTCATTGGAGTTGTTGAAAAATGTGAACAAGACACTGCCTGTAACTACTTTGCACAATGACTAACACATTAAAGAAAAAAAAAACTTCAATAAATGTTTGCTATTGTTTTATTTGTAGTGGTTAAGAGCTATGGCTGCTAACCAAAAGGTCAGCAGTTCAAATCCACCAGGCTTTCCTTGGAAACTCTATGGGGCAGTTCTACTCTGTCCTACAGGGTTGCTATGAGTCGGAATCAACTCGACTGCAACGGGTTTGTTTTATTATTAACTAATGGTGTGAGCTTGGGGAAGTAACTTCTCAGAGCCTCAATCTCTTCGTTAGAAGATGAGAATAAGAACAGATATTTCATAAGGTTCTTGTGAGGACTGTAAGAAATAACAGGTAAGGATTTGAACACTGTGCACCAATGAGTTCCATAAACACGGGCTGCCCCCAGGAACATTTTTAAACTGGTGTAGTTCCTAAAGAATGCCACTAGGAGGCAGAAAAGTATCATTTTTGCTCCTCCAGCACCAGGAAGCTTAGACTTTAGTGGGAAACGGGTGGATTTTTGGAAACTGCAGTGACTATAGGCTTCTCCCCTGGGCCCCCCAGCATCCCACTGGGAGAGAGACAGCCGCTAGCCTTCCTCTGGAGGAAAAAGCAATTCAACAGAATGCTCACCAGGCCTCACGAACCTCCGTTTAAAACAGAAATTATATTTTACAGGAATATACTTAAACTTTTCTTACGGTGTAGGTAAAGACCCTCACAGCACATTAGAGCTACTGGACCATTCCAGGCCCCAGAAAACACCAATTCTTAGAAAATCAATCTCCTCCATGATCAACATCCTAAACTACCAGTTCATAAACACTTGTTTCCATGAATTTGTCATTCAGTCAATAGCAGTTTGCGTCCTAAACCTTTGGGAGAGAATTCCTTCCAAGTTCTGGTTTCATTCTTGTGCAGCTTGGTTTTGGTTTCGTTGTGGCTTTGTGGCTAAGTACTTACCAGTCCAGTGACGTCGAATTCCAATTTTGCTTAAGCGTCACGTGTTAGAAGCCAAGTGGTCTCTGAGCGCTCAGTTAAATGGGGCTAGACATCTGCCGCCTTCTCCCCGGTTCCACTGCCCCTATCTAGCCCGCTGTATGGCCCCTCTTTCTCATTAGAATGAAATATTTCAGACATGCAAAAAAACGTAGTGAATAATGTAACAAGGACCAGTAAGGTCGCCATCAGGTTAAAGAAAGAATACTTGAAATAAAATGGAAAGTCCCACATTGCACACCACACCCCCCACTCCTCTCGAAGATAGGAACACTATCCCACATCTGACATGTATCGTTAAGATTCTACCCCACCTCCCCAATGCGGAAAAAGAAGGACCAAGCATCCTCTCTCTTAATGAAAGAAATGGAACCACAAACTCCAAAGACACTGAGAGAAAGGCGGGGGGGTGGTGTCTGCCAAAAGCAGAAGTACAGGGGACTCAGGTGCCCCATCTCTGAGCTGAGGTCAGCCCTAGATGTAGAAAATAATGGGGAGGGAGGGTTGAAGGCAGTGTCCCGCCCCTCCCAGCCCTCTGCGCCAACCTCTCTGGACAATGGGGCAGGCAGGCCGCCCATCCCTCCACCAGCCCTTCCTCAAACACACCAGTCAAGCAGGGTCAGGAACCAGTGGAGCTGGCATAGGAGCCCCAGACCACCTACCAACGACAGTGAGGACTTCCCTCTCGATGTGGGCCTGGATGTAGATGCGTCCGCGGCGCTCCGTGTGGTCCGTGCCGCACAGGCTGGGGACGTTCATCACACAGCGCTTGTGGACATTCATCATGCAAGCTGTGAGGGGAGAGAGGCTCAGGTCGGCAGGCTGGGTGTCGCGGTATCTGCCCCCACCCAGGGGCCAGCTGGGCCCTTCCCATTCCCCCAGGCAAGGCAGCTGAGACCTACAAGCCTGGCTGGGACTAACTTGCCATACCAGGGTTTCCTTGGGAGGGTGAGGGCTTCTCCAACTCTTACCCCCAAACCCTGATGGACAAAGGAGAATGAATCTGTCCTTCCTGGAGGCTAAGGGTGTAGCCTGAAGCAGTCATCCCGCACTCAGTGTTCAGAAGCCAGAGTCACCCACTTCACTGCGCACAGGAAAATGTTGGGCCAGCTGAGGAGCAGCCACCCAGCTCCAGCCACGCAGGCATGGGTGCCAAAGGTGCCAAGGTTTCCCATTTTTTAAGGTAAGCAAGAATCCAGATTTTTGGGTGACATCTCCTGATTTTTAAATATTCACAGCTAATAATCTCAAACTGGGTTCCCTGGAAATAGGCTCTGGGGCTGGGAGGTAGGGGCAGGTTTGGGGAGAGCTCTTGGGAGCTACACTTGAAGGCAGTGAGGGAGGCAGGGCTGGGCAGAGGGAGATGCTGGCCCCACATATGGGTGCAACTGAGGTGATGGAATTGGGACTTCAGGGCAGGGATGACCCTCCAGAGTTGTCCCAAATGGAGTCAAGAGGCTGGGCCTTTGTCCCATGCATCAGCCAATCACTGGCCATGAACCACCTCTGGGTGGAGTCTCACCTTGGGCAAGGCAGTTCTCTGAAGCCAAGGGTAATTCTCAATGAAGGGTGAAGCTGGGACTCCATAGAAGCTGGGAAACCAAGTGTGGGGAATCTGGTAGGGCCCCACAGTACCCACCACAAATGATTACAATAACAACAACAAAGTTAAACCCAGGGGAGGCCACAAAACTATGTCTGTAAACTGAATTTGGCCCCCAGTCCACCAGTTTGAGACCTAATGTGTTGAAGTCTCCTGTATTATATGGAAACTATACAATTACTCGCACACTCCTCTGCAATGTATCTGAGTTTGTTCAATGTGTTGGTTGATTTCCCTGACATGTTCTAGAATGGCACCTGCCCCAGGAGGGTGAGCACCCTAGGGGACCCTCGTTCCGGTTTGAGAACCAGGGAGAGAGGCTGAATCACCCCCTGGGGACTACATTTCAGGGGATTTCCCAGGAGTTGGGAGCGTGGCTTCCCCGCAGCAGTGGGTGCTGAGGGGGCTCCTTTTCAGCCCACTCAAGCTCTAGGAGGCACCAGAGGGCAAATTCCCACTTCAGGCAAATTACAAAAACTAGAAATGCGTTATAGGGAGAGAAGGACAGCGGGAGCGGAAGAGAGAGTCCCTGGACCCTTAGCAGCCAGCTCAGGACACTGCGTCAGCCCAGCTCCCACCCACCAGCCCACCCTGGCTTTGTGGCTAGGGCATCGTCCCCACCCTTGGGCCCTCTGTGTGGTGGGAGGTGACAGCATCTTGCAGGCAGAGGCATCAGCTCAGCTTCTCTCCCTGCCTGTGTCACAGGTGTCTAGCTGGGGACTCTCTCCGTATCTCTCTGTCCCTGTGTGTCTTGTCCCATCTCTGGTCCTCTCTGTCTCTCTCTCTGACTCAGTCTCGGGGTCCCTCTGGGTCTCTCTGAGCTGCTGTCTCGGCCTCCCTAGTTGTGCGTTTCTGTGTCTTTCTTTGGCCTCCCTTCATCTCTGTATCCCTGCATAAGCCTGCATGCAGACATCACTCCGTGTCGCTTCCAGTCACACTGTCTGTCTGTCTGAGTCTCTCTCTTGAGCTGAGCACCTCGGTAGCTTTCACTCTCCATTGCTCCCTGGGCCTAGATACATATGTGTCTGTCCCCCTGCACCTGTCTTTGTGTGTCACTCTGTCCATGCTCGAGTGTGTGTTTCTCTCTCTCTTGCAGCCCAGTCCATACTCTTGCTCTTCACTCTCTGCCCCTGTGGGTTTCTCCCTCTGTCCTCTGGGCCTCAGCCTGCTTCAGGTCAAAAGGCCTCTGGAGCCACCAACACATGGAGCCTCCCTGTCCCTTTGCAGCTTCTCGCTCCTCAGGGCACCCAGTCCTTTGCATAATGAAAAGGAGTCTTTCCCCCGCTTGCCCTTCCTAGCCAGCCCTGGCCAGAGAATCACTCTCCCCTATTCCAGCAAAGACTTGTGGGCCCTGCGGGGAGGCAGACCTTCTCCATGCACCAATGCATCAGTCCTACATACCAATGTTTAAAGCAACAGTGGTCAGGCCGCAGGAAGGGCCCCCAATTGTTCCTGCTCCCTGTATTCACACCCACGGGCATCCCCTCCCACAGGGACTGTGACCCTCGCCATGTGACTTGCTTTGACCAGTGGGACAGGAGCAAACGTAACACAAGCAAACACTTCAAAACTGCTTCTCATGAGATGTGCCCTCTAGAAGAACTTGGAACCCTACTCACTCCATGGGAACAAGCCCAGACCTAGCCTGCTGAGGACGAAGGACACGTGGCCGAGTCATCTCCATCACCCAGATGACAGAAAGCCATCCTTCAGATGCATGAGGGAAGCCAGCCAGGCCCCAGTCAACCCACTAACCCACCATATATGCATGAGCAAGCCCAACTCACGACAGCTGAGCCCAGCCCAAGGACTGCCTTGCAGAATCATGAGCTAATAAATAGATGATGCTTTTAAGCCCCTACGCATGGCGGTGGGGAAGGATTGTTCTGGACCAATAGATAACTGGTACACCAGCCCACCCAGGACTTGGGAGAATTGGTGCAGACACGGACCCCAAACCATGAGGAAGTAGCCTGAGATCAGGGGTATGTACTTACTGTCGCATTTCATCCCTTGGTGGATGAGCCCATACAGCAGGGACCCACAGTGGTCACAAAACGTGGGACTGGAGTAGGTGTGGATCTTAAATTTGTGTTTGCTCCGGGGGTCCTACAGCCAAGAGAAACAGAGAGACCAGCACTGGTGTTACATGCCAAGGTTCATACTGCATTGAGTGTCGCTGGAGAACACACAAAGAACCAAAGTCGGCCCCCCGCATTCATCATACCATCACTGGAGGCCTGTGCTCAGATGCTGTGCTTGATAAATAGTGATTCAGTGAATGAATGGCCAAGAAAGCTGACTGTTCCCATTCTAACTCCAACACACACTCACACAATCACATGGTCAGACCAAGCTGCAAGGGAATCTGGGAAATGTGGCCTCTAGTTGGGCGGCTATGCTCTGTGCTAAAACTCAAGGGTTATCTTATTAAAGGGAAGAGTGGATATTGGTGGACAACTAGCAGTCTGTGCCACAACTTACTTCCATCTGGAACCACCTGAGAACCCAACCTACTGGCTCCTGCCTGTAGCAAAGACTCCAGAAAGAGCAAAAGTGATAGGCAAATCTATTACACAGGCCTCCTTGCTCCTATTTCTCTCACTTCTATCCTCTCAGCAAGTTTCCAGAATGATCTAAAACTCAAATTTGGGCATGACATATCCCTGCTTAGAGACACTTGTCAGTTCCTTGCCACTTACAGAATAAAGTTCAACATCCACTGATTGTAAGCTGTGGCACAGACTGCCAGTTGTCCACTGATATCCACTCTTCCCTTTAATAAGAGAACCCTTGAATTTTAGCATGACCACTCAATTTGAGACCACGTTTCCCAGCCTCCCTTGCAGCAGGGCATAGCCATGTGATTGCAGTCTGGCCAATAAGCTCCCCTTGCTCTTCCCCACCTTCCCACGGGCTGGAAGATGGTAAGAACTGAAGGGACTGCCTTGGACTCAAGGCTGGAATCATGTGTTTAGGAGGACAAAGCCACCCTACCACCCTACCACCCTCGAACTTTGTCCCTTTGGACTGACATCTGAGAGAAAACCAACTCATCTTATTTAAGTCAATATAATTTGGGGCTTTTTATTACAGCAGCATAGACTGTTCTTTAACTAATACACATGCCCTGTCATAACGTGGCAATGTTTTAATGCATTGGCTAAAGGTACAGACTTTAGAGTGTAAACTGCCTAGGTTCAAATCCTAGCTCTACTCTATGACTTGACTTCTTAGTTATATGACTTTGGGCAAGTTGTTCAACTTCTCTATGCTTCAGCTTCCCTGTCTGTAAAATGGAGATAATGATAGTGCTAAACTTACAGGGCTGTTGGGAAAAATAAATGAATTAATGTATGTAAAGATGTAGACCATCACCCATCTGTCAGTTTGTTATACTGTGCTGGCTTGTGTGTTACTACGATGCTGGAAGCTATGCCACCAGTATCTCAAATACCAGCAGGGTCACCCATGGTGAACAGATTTCAGTGGAGCTTCCAGACTTAGACAGACTAGGAAGAAAGACCTGGTGATCTACTTCTGAAAACTGGCCAGTGAAAACCCTATGGGTCACAACAGAACACTGCCTGATGTAGTGCTAGAACATGAGCCCCCTGGGTTGGAAGGCACTCAATATATCCAGTGGCTGCAAAAGTGGACGTGAGCATGTCAGCAATCATGAAGATGGGGAGGGCCAGGCAATGTTTTGTTCTCTTGTACATGGTATCGCCATGAATTGGAGCCCACTGTACAGCAACTAACAACAACAATAAAGATCTCAGAACCATGTGGCACATGGTAAGTAGTATAATATTTTATATTATTATTGCTATCTCCTCAGTGTGATCTCCAACTATGCCCACCCACACATACCACGTTCTTTCTCACCATACAGAACTCGTTGCTCATCCCCCCAGCATGCCATACCCTTCATGACCTTTTGCCTCTGCAATTCTCTTTCCTCTTCAAGAGATGCTCTTTCCTCCATTGCTTGACAACAAAATTCCTTCTTTTTCCCAACTCAGCCCAAAAGTTGCCTTCTCTGCTAAGGAGTACATTGCAGAAGTTAAGCACATGGGCCTTAGTTTCAAACCAGGGCCAACTGGATGCCAAAGGCCTTGCTGCGTTCTATCACATCTTCCCTCACTCACTGATCTGTTCACATGTACTCACTGAGCATATATACTATGTGTTAGGCACTGTCCTCGGTGCAGGTGCCTTCTTGACACTTATATGATAGTAGCAAAGAGAATACGATAGTAGCAGACACAAAAAAATGAACAAGTAAGCAAATGAACGGACACAATAAGTAGACCTTACTTTATGGACTATGAAAGTGATGAATGTTTCTTCTAAGGACATGGATATTTTCCAAGTTTAAAAGTAATCCTTATACTTACTAGAAATGCTTAAAAAAAAAAAATTAAATTAAGACTGACAACACCAAATGCTGACAAGGATACAGCCCAAGTGGAACGCTCATTCATTGCTGGGGGACTGCAAAATGGGACAGTCACTGTGGAAAACAGTTTGACAGTTTCTTATAAAGTTAAAATACACTTACCATATATGACCCGGCAATCCCATCCCTAGGTATTTACCCAAGTGAAATGAAAACATATGTCTGTACAAAAACCTGTACATAAAGGTTTATAGCTGCCTTAGTTGTAATAGCCAAAAACTGAAACCAATCCAAATGTCCTTCAGTGGGCTAATGGATAAACAAACAGTGGTACATCCACACAATGGAACACTTCTCAGCAATAAAAGAGTGTACTATAGATATACACAACAACATTCATGAATCTCAAAAGAATTATGCTAAGGAAAAGAAGTCAAACTCAAGGACTATATGCTGTATGATTCCATTTGTATGACGTCCTAGAAAAGGCAAAACTACAGGGACAGAAATCAGATCAATGGCTGCCAGGGGCTGGGGTTGGAGAAAGGGGTTGACTGCAAAGTGGAAGACCATGGGAACTTTTCAGGGTGACAGGAATGTTCTATCCATCAACAGTGGTGAATTGACTGTATGAAAATGATCTCTCAATAAGCCTAACTAAAAAGTCCTCACTCATGGAGGGCTTTTGTAGGCCTGTATCTTCTTAATGGGCTACAAGGTTTCCATCACAATATTCCACTTCTATGCAGCCAGGCAGATAGATTACTGGCCTTTGCAGAGCTCTGGATGGCCAAGTTTGAGATGCTGGGTCTGCTCTGGCCAGCAGGACCTCGCAGTGGTTTCAACATGCAGAAGGACCTCAGCACCCACTTGTCCTGCTCAAGGGTGCTAACAGTACGGCTCAGAAATCACAAAGTAAGAATGCAAGGCTTCCCAATTGGCCGCTTAACCAGCTCTGTCTCCATCCCTGGACAATGAGAAGAAATGTAATACATCAGGCTCCTAGAAACAGTCCTTATGCCCTATGCCATAAAACACTTCCCCTGTGCCCCTTGAACATTCACCTTAAAGTTGAATGATAGCTCAGCCCCATCTAAAAAGAAAACAATTGGCCTGTAGGGGGAGCTCAGGGCTTCCCTCACTCCTGTACTCAACCTCTGGGAGGCGGGAGAACTGATCTGGTTGGTTGATTCCAAGACGCTAATTGGCCTGGTCTCAATGGGTGGAGCTTGACCAGGAGTTAAAAGTCATGCCTGCCATCTTTTTTTTCTCTCCCGTTATCTCTTCTTCCAGGAAGCTGCTAGGTCCAGATCGCATGCTCTTCTCCAGAGAAGGCTGGGGCTGAGTGGCCTGGGCCAGCTCCACTCCAGGCACACAGGGAAGTGTTCTCTCTCTCCTTATGGCTCTTGTGGTCCCATTTTGGCTTCCTTAATATGTTGGCCTTATAGGAGCCCAGGCACATTTCAGTTGGAGTTTACATTTCCTTAGATCTACCTAGTATAGAAGAAAGGAGTGCCCTGAGGGGTGTATCTCTGGCCTCATGAGCTCTCCTATGAGATTTGGGGCAAAATCCCAGCTAATAATAAATTGCCTCTTTGCTGGCTTTGCACTCTCTCCATGTATGTATCTCCTGTGGGGATCTCAGGGAAAAGGGTTCCAGCATTTCTGGCTAGATATTATTAAGAACCATCACAATCTCATCATCTTTCTTCAACAATAGGAGATGCTAAGTGACACAAAGAATGGGGAGGGAAATGAAAACATATTTAGTGACTGCTTCCTATGTGACAAGGGCTATGCTGGGTGCCTCATGTGCACTCTCTCCAATCCTTATGACATGCCCATGTGGAAAGTGCTATTTGTTCCCATTTTAGAGATGATGAAACAGGCCCAGAGATGAGAGTAACCTCTCCAAGGTCACTCAGCTGGCCTCTGCAGAGCTGCAATTCATACCAGGTCTGCCTGGACCTGAAGCAGGATCACTGCACCGAGTCATTCTCTCCCAACTCCCCAACTTCACTCCATGAACACCTCAGCTTTCAAGTTCAGCTAAAACAGTACTTTATTCATTCACTCAGCAAACATTTACCAAAGGCCAGGTTCCTCCTAGCCACTGGGGATACAGCTGTGAACAATGGACACAAAATGCCTGCTCTCACGGAACTTACATACTAACTGCAGGCGAGATACAAAAAAGAAATAAATGTCCCGTCCTCTCAAATTGACATGTTTGTGTCTCTTGCACACTTGACTGTGAGCAACATGAGGATATTCTGCTTGCTCAATAGCTCCCATATATTGTACTTGGCATAGAGAAAGTGCCCAATAAATATTTGATGAGTGAGAGTTAACATTAATTAAGCATTTACTACTCATCCCAGGAACTATTTGAAGTGATTTACAGGCATTAATCCTCAAAATATCTCTGTGAGACATGTACCACTTACAGATCAGTAAACTGAGGGACAGAGAGGTGCAATGACTTGTCCAGGGCTCCATAGCCTTACACAGTGGCTGGCACACACCAAGAGGTCAATGAGTGCTGGTAGCAGCACTGGGGCTGTGACCATCACTAAGAACCACCGAGCTCCTGTACAATGAATGTGGTCTTTTAGGAAAATGACTTAGAGGGTGCTATGCAAGACAGATTAGAACCAAGAAGAGAGAAGGCAGGAAGGCCAATCAGGAAAATTGCGGTTAAAAAGTT